TGTCACAAAAGAACTCTTCCTTCTTTCTAAGTGTTGGATGAGGTCTGGAGGGAAAGTTCAGTTGAAATGGTGTCTTGATTGTAAGGAGCTTTCTTCTTGAGTCTATCAGGCATATCTGGCGATAGAGCAGGGAGAAAAGGAATCTTGTGGAATCTGAATGGGTGATGCCAGGAGCCAAGGGGTTAAGTTGAACCATTTTAGCAGATTGGCAAAGGGGCATCTAGGCTGGGTAATTAAGGCTTCATTTCAGGGGATCACTGATGCATCAAAGTTGTTAATTAGTTTTATGAAAACAGATTGTGCAACCACCAGGAGATTGTAATTGGGTAGTAATTGAAAATAACTCGGTGGTATCTTAGTTGAGTGAACCAATTGGGGGTAACTTGGAGGGAGAAAGGGAATTGGGGTCCACAGGTGGGGAGGTGGCATCATGAAACAGGTATGATAAGACAAACAATGTGAAGACATAATTTGAGGAAGAATGACCTAGAGTAATCTTTTTCTTTAGAAATGAGGAAACAGGGCTGAAAAGGGGTGTGGTTTTCTGCCAGTGGTGAGTGTATCCACTGTCCCCGACCACACAGCTAGTTGGTGGTAGATTTCTTTTTTCCCCTTGCCATGATGTTCCAGGACTTTCATGACTTTGATTCTTAGGAGCTGACTGTGAAGAACATGATACTCATGCTGAAAAGAAGCTTCTGAGGCTGGAGTCCCCTGCCCCTTGCAGTTTGCAGAGTATGCTCAGAACTGCTGCTCCCTCACAGGAGAGGAGCAAAGTTGTCTCAAACCCTGTTTCCTTCATACACCACCTTCGCCATGACTATCAGTCTACCATCCATGGCTCCACCATTCCCGGGGCTGGAGAAACACTGCAGCCTTCCACAGTGTGTCATCCTAGGAAGGGCCAGTCGACAGGGAAGTGATTTGGGGGGGCTGGTATTTTTGAGCTTCAGTTTCAGGTTGTGACTGAATTGAGCACCCAGAGTGGGCACTTCAGTTTGGGGAGGGATGGAGGGTTTCCAGAACACACCTGGAGATGGCTCATTCCAGTACAACGCAAATACAAGTGAAGTCATTGTTCTCACCAACGCTACTCAAATCTCGGCAGCCCAGAGACGTTCAAGCCCACAAATTGCAATCCATACCTTGTTTGCCTCATCCGTTCCGGCTGGTTCCTAACTCAGTGGTTTTGCTCATCAGAAAGGAGAGCAGTCAGGTCAGCCATGGAGCGATAGGTGTGATTCAGCTGCTGTAAGGTGAGCCATTTATCTCTCTTCCCTTATCAGTTCAGGCTAATAAAGGATCCGGAAGGACAAAGCGTATGGGCATGGAAACTGATCCGGAGGACGTTGTTGGCCAAAGTAAGCTGCCTGCTCTTGAAGTTCACACGAGGGGTCCGAGCTGTTTGAGGCTGCTCAGAGAGCTCTCCCCTCCTTATCCCTGCCACCCTCCACTCTTGTTAGTCTGTCTTACCATCTCTCTGCCTTATTTCTCGAGGGAGTCTCCCAAGTTAACATGGTTCGCTCGCCTCTGCAGAACAAAGAGAACTTGACTTTTCAAGTTTCTCCAAAGGAGCTTCAGATATCTTGCCTTCCCTGGCCAAGTTTTTCCCTGAGACCTGTCTTTCAAGTCTTAATATTTGCCTCGCTGCAGTAGGTTGGGGAGGAGTGTTGTCCTTTTGTGCCCGTGAACGCTTGCGAAAAGTATAGAGGGGAGTTCAGCCAAGTGGATGGTCTTCCAACCGCCCTGTGCCTTGGCTCCTGCTGTAAATAAGGGCTGCTGCGGCCGCAACATTTGCAAGTGAGGAGCGAGAAAGCATACTCCTCGGTGGTGACGGCTTTTAAAAATAACATTTATTGTTTTTCTAATTACGAAAGTTAATATGTCCCTGTAGAGAACTTGGGAAGCTTAGAGAAGAATCAGGAATAAACTAAGTTACTCATGATCTACGTTGTGAATGTTCTGATAAGTTTATGCTCAAGAGGATAAAACCCTCTTTTAATGGACTTTCTTGTTTAGCGCATGTCTTCTTTTTTAGTATCTAAGTCTTATTGTGTGTGTTCTTAACGTGCTGTGAACTCAGTACTGAACCATGAACTTTGCTGAACTAATAAAGAATTGTGAGGAAGGGTGTAACTCAGTGGTAGAGTGCCCGCCTGGCATGCATGAGGTCCTGGGTTTAATTCTCAGTGCTTCCATTAAAAAGTAAATAAGCCTACTTACCTGCCCCCCACAACCACAAAATAAAAATAAATTAAATAAAAATAAATTTTAAAAAAAACAGTTAATTTCACCCACCCATCCTGAGGCTTCAGTTACTCATTAGAGAAATCACAGCTAACACGATGCTTGAGTTGCGGAGCTGCAAACCAATTTTGATGGATGGTGTCAATATTAAGGTAAAGGGAGGAAAGAACTAAGTTTCCAGGAGCATTTTTTTTTTCTTCTAGAGAATAAATGCAAGTAACTTTAGAGAAACCTGGAATGCAACCGCTCCTGAGTGTCCTCTACATAGTGATGGAGAGCTGTGCTTAGTAGCTGAATGGATTTTCTAGAGAGATGGTTGTCAGATGGTCTCTGGCTCTCATGGTGGTGGAGATGCTAAAACCATTCCTACGGGCATTTTCACATTCATTTTGACTCACTGTTAATTATAAGACAGCATCACTTCAGCATTCTGTCTCTCCAAATTATGTCGGCCATCATGGCCTTCCTTTCCACCGATAAGATCCTTTGGCAAAGGTAGGGGGGGAAATGAAATATTTAAAGGTTTGAACCAAGTTCAGGAAATAGGTGGGTGGACTTCTTAGTCTGCCAGCATGTGATTTGTGGGCGGGAATTAATTCCTTTTGTAAGCAAGAACAGGGCACTATATTGACTGACCGTGTCGCCCAATGTACTGTCCCTGAGAACCAGAGTGTAGACAAGTGCTCTTTGTCTCATGGAGTGAATGAAAAATGTGTATTGGCTTGCATGGCTGTGTGCATTTTCAGGGAGGAGGGGCACATGCCTGGGTCTAATGAATTAAAATCTTAAAAGCCATAAAACTTGTCTGTGGATCAGAAGGGGCTGGTGGGAATGCTTGATATCCAAGTCTTAAACTTGCGCAGGAAGCAGAGGCAGGATGTGGGTATGGGGGAAGGCGCTGCTGGAACATTAGACATGGTGTCATCAGAGGTCTTCAGAATCTGCAGTCGGTGGCAAGAATTTCTCAGGCCTTACAGGTTGTAAAAGAGGCAATTGCACTTTGCTTTGTGTGTTTTACAACTGGGCAATGTCATACTTTGAAATGAGGGTCAATGTCTGTCTGATTGAGGAACTTGAAAATGTTTCGCTTGACTTCTCATGAGGGGAGTCATGTGGTTTCTAATGAGCGGTGATTAACAGCTCCGAGAGGAGTGTATGTCGCTTCCTGAACCCTGCCCTGTGTCATCTGGCCACCCGGCTTCCAGATATTCCTCCATCCCAGAAGAGCCAATAAAAAGATAAAGTCAACCCAGCAGGAGATGCCATGAGTGACTGCCAGAGCCCTCACATGTAGTGTCAAAGGGACAAGCAGACGTGTCCAGCAGACCTTAGTAGAGCACTGGCTTTCGCCAGGGTCTGTGTGCCCTCCTTGGGCCTTAGTCACTTCACCTGTACAATGGGGTGATACCACCGATCACCTCCGCCCGTCTCCACCGGGCATCCTGGTACAAACTGTGATTATACCTCACCTGGTCACTGTAGCAGTGTCCTAACTGCTCTCTCTGCGTTGATTCTTGCCTCCCTCAGATCCGGTCTCCACACAGCAGCCAGAGTGGCCATGAAGCTGGCTCTCTCCACCTGTAACCATCTTACTTGTTTGCGTTCTTGTTATTGTCTCTCTGACCCTCACCCCACAATGCAAGCTTCACGGTCTCCACTACATCCTTACGAGCCGGTCCCCTGGCTAGGTGGTCCTCCCTCTCCTTCCAGCAGCTTTTGCCTCCGGTGTTTTCCTGTCCTCCTTTTTTCCAGCAGTTTGATTTACTTCCTGAGCTAGTTTGAGATGGGAGTCAGGAGATGTAGGGTTTAGTCTGCGTTCTGCCTCTTCCTGGTTGGGTGCCCTGAAGACAGTCACGTAGCCTCTCTAGGTCAATTTCCTTATGTGTAAAGAGAGGGCGTATTGGTTTGCGAAGACTGCTGTAAAAGAGTGGGATGCTTAAAAGTCAGAAGTTTATTTTCTCACAATTCTGGAGACTAGACGCTGGAGATAAAGGTGTCCGCAGGGTTGATTCTCCTGGGCTTGTGGATATCCGTCTTCTCCGCGTGTCTTCACATGGCTCCCCTCTGTGTCTGCGTCCTAACCTTTTCTTCCTATGAGGACACCAGTCACATTGCATTAGAGCCCAGCTGTACCTTCATTGCCTTGTTAAAGGCTCTGTCTCCAAATACAGTCATCTTCTGAGGCACAGGGCGTTACGAGTTCAACACCTGAATTTTTGAGGGGCACGTATTTCCACCCGTCACGGAGGAGAAATGCTGGGTGTTATCTGAGACCATTTCCAGTGATACAAAATTACATTTTAAGTTAGAGGTCTGCCTCTTCACTTCCTTGTCCAGTTTCACTCCCATCAGGTGACAGCTTGGTGCATATGCCTCCTGATTTTTGATGTTCATACGTATCCTCACGTATATTTTGTAGAGCTTAACAGTGTGTGTGTATCTAGCGATAATATGTTATAGACTGTCAAATGGGAGAATTTATAAAATATTAAATGAAACCAAAAATAGCATCTGCGGAGGGCTTTTTCTTTTTTTTTTCATTTTTTTCCTTCATCAGTTAAACAATTTATTTTACTTTTTAATTTTATTTTTATTGAAGTATAGTTGATTTATAGTGTTGTGTTAGTTTCTGGGGTACAGCAAAAGTGATTCAGTTATACGAATGTATATATAATCTTGTTCAGATTCTTTTCCATTATAGTTTCTGTAATTTTCAAAGTCTGTAATTGAACGTTGTTTGTTGCCATCCACAGCTGGAAACGGACAAGCTGGCCCTCCCGATGAGCCCCAGCCCCCTCGGCCCGAGCCCCATGCCCAGCCCCAACACGAAACTTGAGAACTCCACGCTCCTGACGGTGGAGCCCTCCCCGCTCGACAAGAACAAGGGCTTCTTCGTGGACGAGTCCGAGCCCCTTCTGCGCTGCGACTCCACGTCCAGCGGCTCCTCGGCCCTGAGCAGGACCGGCTCCTTTATAACCAAAGGTACAGGTGGCTCCCATCTCTCATTCATTCTTTTTAAAACATCTTACTGAAGTATCGTTGATTCACAGTGTTTAAAGTGTACAAAAGAGTGACTCAGATAGAGGTATGTGTATGTATTCTTTTTCAGATTCTTTTCCACTATACGTTATCACAAGTTACTGAATATGGCTCCCTGTGCAACACAGTAGGACCTTGTTGTTTATCTACTTTATATACAGTAGTGTCTGAAATCCCAGACTCCTGACTTATCCCTCCCCCCACATTCATTCTTAAGCCTCCCCTAGTAGAGCCCATGGGATTTCTCCATCAGTTCCCCATTCCAGTAGGAGCTGGGTCATTTGATTAACTTGCCCTGGACTCTGAGGTGAGGCTGGCCTGTGAGGAACCACGTCATTAGCCAGTCGGGACCCGCCTAGAAAATCTTTACAGCCCCGGCTGTCTGGCCGGGAGCCTGGGACCGGGAGTATCGGTCACCCTTTATCCTCACGATGCTATCAAACGTGTGTTTCGGGGAAGGTCCGATAACATGTAGTCTGGCAGGTTTTTTTTTTTTTGCAAATTATTTACCAGACTTACAGAATCCAGGGCTGTAGAGTATAAGCTATCTTCAGAGTCTGGAGTATAGGTTTTGGTGACTCCGATTAAAGTTCACTCTGTTAAGCTTGGTTGCAAGTAACAATATTTTAAACATCGTGGATTGGGACTTCTGGTAAATAATTTGCCACTTGCAGTTTTTAATTGCAGGGTAGGGAATTAGCATGTACACCATATTGATGACAGATTTTTAGTTGAAATTTCCTAGTTTGCATAATACCAGTTATATTTTACTGAAAAGTTTCTATTTTATGTTGCTATATTTTATATGTGGATAAAATATGTTCTATTTTACATGTTTATAGTTTATACTTCATATATTATATATTTTATATTTTTTGGTTTTGTTTGTTTTCTTTATATTTTCTAGGTGACTTAAGTTTTTAGTTGTTTTTTCTTTTTAGTGGGGGGAGGTAATTAGGTTTTTTATTTATTTATAGAGGAGGTACTGGGGATTGAACCCAGGACCTTGTGCATGCTAAGCATGTGCTCTACCACTAAGCTATACCTTCCCCTCTATATGTTTACAAAAGATTTACATATTAGTTTATAATTTATGTTACATAAAGTTTATAATGGTAGTAAAAGTTATAGTTCCTCACCCCACTGCAAGGTGTGACCCAAGAAGCAATGTTTTCTTGTTTATGAGCTTTTGCTCTTCACAATTTAGTTCTGAAATATGGCAACGTAATTAGAAAGTCAGATAAGCTGATTATTGGCTTGGAAAGTTTGAAGGGAAGGGCTGAGCTGATGTGTTTGCTTACACAGTACAGATGGGGAAAGTGGTGAAGTTTTTTTTTAAGTTTAAGTATTTCAGCATTCTCCTGAGTTGCAGAAGAATGTAGGAGAAGTCATGTAAGTCTCAGCAAATGTCAAGTTACATCAACAGCCCATTCCAGCAGATACTTGTCTGATCTCTATTAGGCGAATCTTGTTTGTTATCTTATGCGCATTGTGGGTAAAAACAACTGGGTGGTTTAGCATGTCTGGGATGTTCACTCACTCACCTTGGTGGGGTGGGGCAGTGACAGCCTGGGGAGAGGGTCGCTGTCACTCTGAGCTCTCCTCCTTCCCCTGATACAGTCCCTTTACAGCTGTCCCCTTCCCACTCCTCTCTTCCCTGCAGAAAAGAAGGACACAGTGTTGCGACAGGTCCGCCTGGACCCCTGCGACTTGCAGCCTATTTTTGACGACATGCTCCACATTCTGAATCCCGAGGAGCTGCGGGTGATTGAAGAGATTCCTCAGGCTGAGGACAAACTGGACCGGCTATTTGAGATTATTGGAGTCAAGAGCCAGGAAGCCAGCCAGACCCTCCTGGACTCTGTTTATAGCCATCTCCCCGACCTGTTGTAGAACTCAAGGGACACCGCACTCTGGAAATTTACTCAGTTTAGTGGCAGGGTGGTGTTTTTTCTCTTTTGTTTTGTTCTTAACTTTTGTTTTTGGGGTGGGTGTGTGTGTGTGTTTATGTGTGTGTGTGTTTAACAGAATATATGGCCAGTGTTTTGAGTTCATTCATTCTTTCTTTTCTAAAACCCTTCTGGAAAATTAGCTTATAAGCCTTTTCAAGATGTAACTTTTGCAGAATATCCACCACTACAGGTTTTTTTTTAAGTTCCGTATTTTCTTTGCTTTGCCTTCTTACGTATTCTCAAAATCATTCTGTGCACTTTAAATTCACTTAATATACCACAAATGCAGTGCGGGTGAGGCTCTTAATGTCTTAAAAGTGTCATGGCATCTTGTGAATTCTATAAGTGGTCTTCACATCTCAACATCCACGTCTGCTTTTTTTTTTTAATTATTATTACTATTTTATTATTTGTCATTTACGAATTTTCTGAAGGGTTCAAGCAATGTAAGACCCGTTGAGTTACTGTAATACAATTAGATTTTGAGTTATCTTTTTAATATGCCTTGTTGTATAGTTCATATTCATGGCCGAAACTTGACCACACTGTCGCTGATTGTACGTTTTCACCTGGACACCGTGCAGAACGCTTGATTACTTGTGCTCCTCTTATGCTAATCTGCTCTGGGCTGGAAACATGAAATCCTCACAAGCCATCACGACTTGCTATTTGAGTGGCTTGACAACTGGGCCACCAGCGAACTTGAACTTCATCTTTTAGGGATCGAGCTGTCCTGGAACATATTGCTGCACTTTGGAAAGTCACAACTGAGTGGCGGTCACAACCGGCACCTTTTTTCCAAAGGGGATTTGCCCAGCTTTGCTTTAAAAGATGTCTTGTTTTTTTATCCACACATAGTCGATAGGTCCAGGCTGCCCTCTAGGCTTTGGTCTTAGTGGGTTTCCTTCATTCAATCACTTTAATTAAAAATGGCTGCAGCTCTAAGAACTCTTGTCTGATGTATTTGCAACTACACTCCTGTTTAGCGACGTGCTCCCTGATGCTCGGTTGCCAGATTCTAATGCAAAGGTGGTGTGGACTCCCTTTGTGTGGGCGGGGTTTGTGGGTAGTGGAGAGGGACTGATAACAGAAAAATGCCTTCAAGTGTACTAATTTATTAATAAATATTAGGTGTTTGTTACTTGAGTAGTTTGAGTGTATTTAATCTTTGCCTTGGCCATGTGCTCAAAGTCTTTGATTAGTCTCTTGGAAAAGTGTGTATCCTAAAACCCTCAGCCATGCTAATCTGTAAATCAAGCCCGTGGGCAAAGGTTTGTGTTTGGGAAAGTACCTGGAGATTGGTGGTGAAGGACTGATCAGCACTGAAGATGACTAAGCATTTTCTAGTCTTTGGGGGGTAAATCTGAGGCTTCTGCTTTTGAGAAGGTCCTTATTGTGGAGGTGGAGAGGTACGCATGCCGATTAGAACGTGGAGTCTGTTCCTACTCGTTACCATCTGTGTATTCAGGACGAGTAACCAGAACTCATTTGTCAGGCTGAAACAGCGGACGCAGAGATCACAGCAATGAAATGGATCTGGGTTCCAAGGAAAGCCCGACACTTACACGTTCAATAAATAACTGTGAACGTATAGGAATAGGGGGGAATCTATACAAGTTCACCGGCTTCCATATGAAACCTCATTGCCCCCAAATAACTTCAGGGGGGCGTTCTTCTCAGTACGGCAGGGTAACGTCTTATGTTGGTGGGATATGTTACATCGTATTTTATTACATCTCTATTATAGTATGTGACATTTTATATTTCATTGCATGCCCCCTTAGCTTGGGAACCCTGACTCTCCAGAATTCTGACAACCAGAACCTCAGCAATTTTGAATTCCTCTTTCAGTGAGAAACTGGAACTAGATACCCTGAGCACCCTGACACCTGTGTCAGTGACATGGAAGGGGTTTTCTGGTTTCTAGAGAGCCAGCATGGGATTTGGTTTTATGATTCTCAGGCCAGGTTTCCCTTCCTCTTTTGTCGACAGAAGACGGAAACTCTTCACCAAAGGAAAGCCAACCAGCATGAGTCATAGATGCTGGTGGAAGAGAAAGATTTTTTTTTTTTCCAAAGGATTTCAGGCCTGCCACTTATTTTATGTGGGGGTTGACAACATCAGAAATGCATGAATCATCATTTCGGTTATTAAGCTTGTAAATTATTCATAGCTTTGGACGCTTTTATTAATCATTTACACAGCTTTATCCTTTACAAAGTGCTTTTTGCAGTATTTTATTGAATCTTCATAACTGTCCTATAAAATAGGAACTACAATTGTGCCCATTTTATAGATGAAAAACAGGCTTATTTATTTAAAGGCTAAGGGGCGTGCTTAGTGATCGGACTTGAATCTGAATCCAAGACTGTTTGTTCAGGACGAGTAACCATGTTCAGGACGAGTAACCAGAACAGGTTCGTCAGGATGAAACAGCGGGCGCAGAGATGACAGTGATGAAGCTGATCTGGGTTATAAGGAAAGCTCGATACATTCAATAAATTTATGAAAGTAGAGGAATGGGGTGACATCTCTTGATGTTCCGGGGGAGAGAGACATAGGAGTTAATGGTTAAACAGAAGCTTAATATTGAATTCACATGATACATAGCTTTTCTTAAAGAGGCAACCTCCAGCTGCATTATCGAAACATAGAATGTCCTGGTCGGAGTTGATGATAATCTCATTTGTATACTGTGGTGCTCACTTGGAGGTCTTCTCTGGTTGGAGCTGCCTTACTCTGAGGGATCTGGTGAAGTGGGAGGTCTTCAATGTGGGGCTGAGGGGATAACCGGAGAAGTAAGAGACAGACCCGGGAGCGATGTTGGGAAATCTCAACCTGACAATGAACGTCTGTGGAGGTAATAACCATCTACAGTCATGTGAAGGGCTGAGGAAGAGAAATTGTTTCTTTACGGAGTCATAGTGTCTCCTCTAGGCCAATTTAGGCTAAATGCACAGGAGCTTTTAAACAATTAGATGGGGCTGCTTTTCCAAAGGGAGAATGATTCCTACCCCGTGGAGAAGTTCGGTGGACGTTAGCACTTCTCAGCCCTTCCTGTAAGTAAGAGTCACCAGGGGGTGAGCAAGCTGTGATAAAGACAGAGTTCCAGAGAGTTCCATCCAGGAGGTGTGTGGGGAAGTGGAGAATGAGCCTCCCACACGATTGTTCGAGAAGCCCTCGCTGGGCTGCACTTTGAGGAAAGCTCTTTAGATCCTCGCCACTGTGGAGGGGGGACCAGCGGAAGCACAAGGCACCCGGGAGCTTGTTAGAAATGCCTAGTCTGAGGCCACTTTGCTGTGCTCCTTAAACTTTAATGAAACACTTGGGGATCTTGTTAAAGCGCAGATTCTGTTTCAGTTGTTGTGGGGCCGGGTACCTGGGTGACGTGGATGCTTGCAGCTTCCTGATCACATCGCACAGCCTGAGATGATGCTTCAGTTTCCTGTAGAGTGATGCTGATGTGGGACAAGATGTCACTGATTCCACAGGAGAGAAGGGAACAATTCCTGGCAAGCCAAAGTGATTCCCGGAGTCAGGCAATCCTGGTCAGACTCTACAGGGAGCTTGGAGAACTCCAATGTCCAGGCTAAACCCCAAACCAATTATGTCAGAATCTCAGGAATGGGACCCAGATATTTGCATTTTTTAAAGCTCCCCAGGAGTTGCCAGTGTGTCGTCAGCTTGGACAACTGCCGATTTAAGAGCGTGTGAAGAGAGTGCTTCTGAAGTCTCACCCCAGATCTGATCGATAAATCTTACAGGGAGTTAACTAAGGGAGCTGCAGTTGTGATTTTGCTATAGCCCGTCCCCCTCAACTCTGCAGACTTGCTTTAGGGCCCATAATCCGGCTGTAAAATTTTCTGTAACTGCTAGAATTGATACACTCCCAAGCACAGTTGGGGCAATATCTTAAGGCTTAATTGCATTGATGAAGCCACCTGCACCTGATCAATTTTCCGTGGCTTTGCACATATTAGGTATGATTAAGAATATTTGGGAAGTGAAGTTATTAAGGCATGATTAAACAAGAACACTTGGAAAGTGATGTTATTCTGATTTATGGTTCTATATATATTTGAAGGTTTGCCATTTTCAAAGAAATGAAATAAGATATAATGAGTCATAAAACTTGCACTGACTGTATATCACAGAATCTCAGACTTTTTGCAACACCTGGGCCATTGGGGCATCAATCTCAACGGACAGTCCTGTGGATGCGGCAGGAACCTATCCTGACCTTTGATTCAAGGAAAGTAAATGTGATCTTTTGTTTAGCAGAATGATGGCCCTTACTTTTGTCAGGAACCTTGGATGTCACCCAGGGGGCCTGTGGTTTTCAGGTGGGAAGTTAGGGCCGTATCTAACTAGCTGCCGGCAGAGCCCTGTGCTCTGAGTCCCCGCCAGCACGCTTTCACTATTCCAAGAGACCTCTTTTGTGTCTTTTCTTGAAAATGAAATGAATGAATGGAGCCAGAATTACTTGGATTAGAAATCAGAAAAAGTTTTCACCCTTTTTTGACTTCAAGTAGCTGCATGTGTGAGACACATCTGGATGCCGGAGTCTTACTATTTCTAAAATACTGATATTCATAAAATATTTTACAAGGCTATACAAGAAATTTGCCTCTAGGGAGAGGAACGGGCTGTCAGAGAAGAAGGATGTGTTCTTTTCATGATTTTTTTTCTTTGGAATCTTTTAGATTTTGTGCCACGGGCATATACTGCTGAATTTCAAAATTTAATAAATTTTAACTAATTTTTAAAATTATACATAAAATCATTTTTAGACTTTTTATGACATCCAGGGAATGTACACTTATGAAGACCAAGGTAAGAAAGATGGGAACCAGAGTGGAAACATTAGTGATAGCTTTGTGAGGGCCATTTCAGCAGAACCTGCAAAGGGAAAATCAGTCTCTTGCCCTGCTCTTGGGGAGAAATGGCACCAGCACCCTCAACCTCCACGATCTTAGAGATCTTAGATCCTTTTCCTGGACTTGGCTCCCAGACGAACTTAGGGTAACACGAAATTCAAATGGAAGGAATTCAGACGTAGAAGTTTAGAAAGGGGGAACATAGCAGCTACATTATATTTCTCAATACACGAATCACTCGTAATTAACATCTTCACGAGGAAGAAGGTCAAAGATTTCTAAAGTGTCTTTCCGGGCTTCTTCATCCTTCCAAAGGAGATGCTTCTGCCCTGCCCTGGCATTGACCTGTCTTCATTCACCTACTGCTTTATCCACAGTGAAATGCCAAATGGGAAATCTCATGGGTGAGGAAGAAGAGGCAAAAAGGTAGCTCATTAACAATAGTCCTAGGATAATTGTTTCCATTCTCTCTAGAAGCTTAAAATAGACATTTTCACACCAGGTTTTTGTCCATAATATTACCAGAACCAGGATATCGACATGAATACAATATTATTAAACTATTGATCTTACTCAGCTCCCATCAGTTTTCACATGCACTTTTTTTTGGTGTATGTACTATGAAATTTTATCACATGTGTTGATTCATATAACCACCACCATAATCAGAATGTAGAAGGTTCATCACCACAGAGAAACTCCATCCTGACCCCACTTTAGAATGCTAATTTTCCCTCCACCCTAGCAACTGCTTTCCATCACTACAGTTTTGTCATTTAGAGAGTGTTGTGTAAGTGGAACCATACAATATATAACCTTCTGAGATTGGCTTCTTTTTCCTCTTCCGTTCAGCATGGTCCCCAAATAGCTGTGAATATCAAGTTTGTTAATTTTTACTGCTGAGTAATGTCCCATGGTAGGGAGGTACCACTGTTTGTTGAACCATTCATGCATTGGAAGACATTTGGACTGTTTCCAGTTTGGAGCTATTGCAAACAAAGCTGCTATGAACACCTGTGGTCAGGTTTTTATGAGGAAATAAGTTATATTTATTTAAGGTGAATACCCAGGTGTAGGATTGCTGGGTAGTATGATAGGTGTATGTTTAACTTTATAGTAAACTGTCAAACTTTTCACAGTGGTAGTACTGTTATGTATTTCCAAAGTGATGTCTTAGAGATCCAGTTACTCTGCATCCTTGCTGTCCTTAATATTGTCAATATTTGTGCGTTAGTCATTCTGATACATTTGTAGTGGGACAAACGGGTT